CGGTTTTCTTTGGCGCCCCCTGGAGTTTTTTCACTACTTTTTTATTTCCTTCCCATATTTTTCGGGGGTAAGCTGGGGGGGGGGGGGGATTTGTAGGTGCTTCGCTTTGTTGTACACGGCATACCCCTCGTCGCGTGACCTTGCGTGCGGTGCGCGCCACACTGCGTGCCTGCTGTGTGCATGCACGGGAACCATGTCTTTACCCCTTGAGATATTGACGGAGCTCGACCAACTGTCAAAATTGAGAGGAAGAAGAGGTGTCGTTCTTGACCGACACTTCGAGGCCATGAAAGTACACGTCGAACGTGACCCTCGTTGGACCACTAAACGGTTCAATATTGCTGATGATGCGTCATTATTTATGGCGATGTTGTAACGCGTCTGTCTGTAATACTACATACCCTACTCTTATGGTTAGAGCGGAAGCTGCAGTGCGTTGGATCCAGAGGTAACTGTTGAACGACGATTTTTCTAGATCTGTTTTTTTATGAACACGCTGCTCTCAGGTAGGTCGAATCCACCGACAACAAAAACCGGTGTCCTCTGCACCATCTCCCACACACTACTGACTGGCACTATTGCTAAACCCCTCATGGGGCACCATGGGCAGCCCATGGGCCGCCCATGGGCACTTCATGGACTGCCCATGAGCTGCCCATGGGCTGCCCATGAGCTGCCCATGGGTGGGCCCATACGCGGCCCATGAACCGCTCCCACGAAGTGCCCGCCGTGGGCACTTCAGCCTATATGTAGAACTTCGCCACCGGCATATCAACCTAGAACATAGCCACGGCACATCAACCTATGTAGAATGTAGCCACCCAGCGCCAACCTGTCACGTATGGTGTGGGCTTGGGGTTATAGGGTTAGGGTTAGCATTATTGGGGTTTTCAGTCGTTCGTTGTAGCAAGGAAGGGCAACACATGGGCCACCCACCCACCCCCACACCAACCCCCGGGAGGGCAATTTCGATTCCTGTTCTAGGTGGAAATTAGTTAGGGGGCTTCGTTCACGAAAAATGTCATCGACCCCCCTACTGCAGCGGGATTTCTATCGACGGTGCCCCTGACGCAACTACAGTATATAGAAATTAGAGCCCCGCCCCCCCAAACCACCCCCCACGGACCCCGGATTGCTTTCGGGAGTTTTCGAAAATGAAAAGTGGGCGACTGACAACAAAAACGCTTTGGGTGGAGTTCTGGTGGGTTTGGGTGTGTGTGTCGGTCGTGTGGGACGGGCAGCCGGAGCACATGCGCGAGAGGCTGCGACAATCACTGCGGGGTTCGATCGCGTGTTTATAGATAGGCCCAGATTCTAAGTTGCATGC